CCCTGTGGCATATTCGATATGCCAAAAACAGTAACAACAAGTCTCACATTGAAGATGTTACTGGTGCCCGCTCGAGAAAATCGATGAACAATGGAGGACAGTGACAGTGATAGTGACAGAGGGACAAGAAAGATAGTAGTTGACCAAGGTTCAAACCCAGCACCTGATATGGTCCCCTAATCCTTGTCATGAGTGATCCCTGAGCACTGAAAAAAGCTAGGAGTCATCCCTGAGCACTGCTGGGTATAGTACCCAGCCCCCTCTACCCCCACGAAAACAAACAAACAAAACACTACTCTTTCTCACTCTCATATCGCTACTCATGCTAGCCTGGGATAAGTCTGTGAAATAAGTTTTTTGAAATAAACTAAGGACAGTCACTAAATAGTCAGCTAGAAAATGGAATGGAAACTACCATTTTTATCACCTAATACCATGGCCCTTTAAAAGATAAATTACTGTAAAATATTTTACAAAAGTATACAAATTTGGCTAAAAGGTTTTGCCCTAGGTTAAAAGGGAATGCAGACAACATAGATGCTAAATGTCACAAAATTTTAGGAATATAAATAATTTTCTTTTTTCCCCATGCCTTGTTTATGCATAAAGATCGAGTCGAAAATAATGTCTAAATCAAAAAGTAGGGGATATGGTGCCACCAGTAGTAAGGCAAGTGCATCAGCAGCCTGATGGCGCCTTCAGACTTCCAAATACCCCCAAATTGCTGCTGTGCCTTTGGCCAGACCCTAAAAACTTGGGGCAAAGTTTACCAAGAAAGTAAATGGCCAAAACTTAGGTATGTGTGGGAGACACACCCACAAACCACCTCCGGCTCAGCTATATAATTGGAGGCATGGCCTCTCTGATTCCTGATTGAACTGCTTAATGGCCATGACCCCAGAGACTCAGAAACAAATCTCGAAACCCAGCAGCTTTTGGCAGAAATGCATCCTGTTCCTGCAGTAGGTTATAGGCGCTGAACCACCCCAGGTGGGAATAGGTTTCATGCCTTGGCCTGTTCCCCTTGGCAGCCCAGTGACCACTATCCTCCAGAGGCCACTGGACAGTCAGGTTTGGGACCGAAGTGATGAGAGATGCGGGGCCTCACGGGAGGGGGTGGAGCTGGCCCTTTCCTCCCCATCTCAAGACCCTGAGTCGCCGCCCATGGATGTTCTTTCTGGCTCCTGATCAAGCTGCTTAACGGCCATGATCCAAGAGACTCAGGAACAAATCTCAGAACCCAGCAGGTTTTGGCAGAAATTCCTCCAGATTTAATTGTTAAAATTTTGGAATTTCAAAATCACGCGGACTCTACTGTAGCCACGTGACATCATGTGTTATTCATAACCAGCAATAGAAAACAAATTGTCTACTGTTGCCTTTTCAGCAGATCTGAGTTTTGGGGTAAGGTAAAAGGTAAAGGCCCTCCCGTTGATCGTCGATTTGCTCAAGCGGGCCCAGTAACGTCTCCATTGGAGACTTTGTTGTTACTGTGTTTGGCATATCGAATACTCTCAGTAGCTTGCCGGGCTCTTCGAGAGGGGCGGAGGAAAAAATCTCAAATAATAATGGTGGGTCTAGTGTCAAAATATTGAATGTAATCAAAGTAGAGACATAGTAATGTGGAAATCATTTGCCCCACAGGTAGGGGGAGGGTGTGGGATGGGAGTATACTGGAGTTTTGGGGTGTGGAAAATGGGCACTGGTGAAGGTACGGGTGTTTCATTGTATGACCGAAACTTAAACCCAAAAGCTTTGTAACTGCTCTCATGGTGATTCAATAAATAAAATTATAAAAAATGAAAAAAAAAGTAAGGTGAAGTTCATGCCCAATTCAATCAGCTAATCAGTGGCTGAATAAATAGCAGTACTCCTACATTTAAAAAAAATTAAAAAGTACTCTTTCCAATTGAACTTTTAGTGAAATTTATGTTGTGTTAAGATGGTTCAGGACACAAACCTGAGACCTATATTAAAATGCATTGCTACTAAACTGTAATTAAAAAGTTAAAAAAAAAAACAGGTGATCTTAAGTACACAAAAATTCTAAGTGTCAAATTTGTTGGATGAAAACAGAATGCTAGAAAAATATGACTGACACTTTAATATGAGCTATCAACACAAAATTACCCACTTCCTGGCTTTAGAGCACATAAGTTTAGGCAATTGCCTTCCATGTGGTTGCACAGCAACAATGATTTGACATAGAGTTCTCCAAACACTAAGTGTGACCCCTGTGACTTCCAACCAGGAGTCAGAAGTGGCAGTGACCCCTGAGCAGATAGGCCTAAGAAAAAGAGGGAAAAAAAGAAAAAGAAAAAAATATATTTATTTCTAAAGATACCAAAACTCTTATTAGCAGGGGACTGAATCAATTAGCTTTGGGTCTAAATAAACATTCAAACAACAAAAAGTGTTTAGAAATAATTAAAACAATGTTGTTTAAGAATTGCCACATATCCTGAGAGTAGACTATAGACCGAACATGATTGCCACTCAATGCTTTTTTTTTTTTATGTAGGAATACTGCTATTTATTCAGCCACTGATTAGTGATTAGGCTGATTGAATTTTGCATGATCAATGCCTCTTTTGCAAATCACAGTGCCCAAAAGGAGAGAGAGAACAAAAGGGAATGAATGCCCTGCCACAGAGGTAGGGTGGGATGGGGGGGATGGGGAGTGGGAGGGATACTGAGATCAGTGGTGGTGGAGAATGGGCACTGGTGGAGGGATGGGTACTCGATCATTGTATAACTGAAACCCAAGCAGAAAAATTTGTAAGTCTACAACTGTACCTCATGGTGTTTCACTAATAAAAATTAAAAATAATTAAAAAAAATTGCCACACATCATAAGACACTCCCTACCCATTCTGCATAAGTACCACACCACATTTGATGGGGTTCAAATAGTAGGCAACAAATCATAGGGGGAAATTATATATATGTAGATGGATATATATATGCATACATATATATTTTCAGATATATATACAAAAGCTTTTCAAATATATATCAACCTTTAACAACATGTTAGTGATATCCTAAAGAAAGCCTTAATGACCCCAGCTAAAATAGAACAATCTTGACACTGTTTCCTCTATGGGTACTTTTTTGGTAGCATTTTCAGCGATTTTTCATAACAGACCATTCAAAATATATTATTTAGGTTGTACTTTGAGACAGGGATTGGGGCTTGGGATGGAAACATCCCAAATTTGGTTGTGGGAAGGTGTAACGGTGAATGGGATTGCTGTTTGAATATTACACATAATTTAAAAAATTGCTGAAAAAGGCCAGAGTACAGCAAGCTGGGGACTTGTCTTGCACAGGTGACCAACCCTATATGGTCACCTGAGCACTATCAGTAGTGAACCTAAGCACAGGGCCAGGAGTGAGTCCTGAGCACCATTTAGTGTGGCCCAGAACAACATCAAAAGAATTACCCAAAGTACAAGATAAAGGTTAGAAATGCTTTGTAGATCTTTGCATGTCTTTTAAAAATGGAGGCATGGGGGCGGGGTGTGTGGAGAGAAAGAGATGGTAAAGTCTATGTATCCTTGCAGTTCTTTGAACAACTAATTTAACCAAGATGGTAATCCCTAAGGAAATATCCTGCCTCAAGAGGTTAAGAACTTTCTAATGCTTCCTCTTTGAAGATGCCTTTAGTTTCCATGTCGTGGAGAGCTGTTTTCCTCTCTGTGCTTTATGGGTTCAGGTCTGATATTGAGGTCTTTGATCCATTTTGATCTTACTTTTGTGCCAGAATAAGAGCTCTTTTTTCTTTTTTGCATTTTGCTGCCCAGTTTCCCCAGCACTTGCTGAAGAGGCTTTCCTTGCTCCACTTCACGTTTTTTGCTCCTTTATCAAAAATTAAGTGATATATATATTTGAGGGTTTGTGTCAGGATATTCAGCACTGTTCCATTAGTCTGCGAGCGTCTTTATTTCAATACCATGATGTTTTGATTACTAGCACTTTATAGTGTGGTATGAAGTTGGGGGAGGTACCTGTGTAACTCAGTGATTTAATTCAAAACAAACAAAACCCACCTCATTTTTCAATGTTAAATAAAATTTTTAAAAACCAAAGCAAGCATTTCTTTCTCGTTTTCTTAGTAAACAGTAAATACAGATGTACCTAAATGGTCTTTTTCAATTAAATACCGAGTGGGTGCTTACAACCAACAAAAGGATATGCTTCTTTACTTGAATATGAAAAATCAAATTTAGATGCTGCCTGTCTCATTTTCATCTAGTTATAGAGAACTGTAATTTTCACCATTTACATAATTATGTTTGTAGTTTCTCAATACTAACTGCTAAAAATACTATTAGAAAAGCATTCTATTACATTTTCATATACCTTAAGGTGTGCTTTTTTTTTTAAAATTCAGTCACTGTGAAATGGGTTATTCATGACTGGACTTCAGGTAGTTTTAACAATGACTCCTTTCCAGTCCACTTCCCTCACCAATCCACCCCACCCCCTTTTGCTTCCCACTCTTTTATGGAGTGTTTATAGTTCTTTTTTAATTTTTGCATTGCGATTTACAGTAGACAGAATTTCAAACATAAATATTTTATCGTCTTTCAGCACCACCTTCTCCTCCTGGTTTAACACTTCCACCTACCATAGATGCTGCCCTCTCCCTGTGCTACCCCCATTTCAAGTGGCATGTTTCTCACTCAATACCAGATCTCATGTTGCTTGCACTGTCCTTGGGTATTTGTTATTCTACCAAAATGTTTATGCCCCACATGTGAGAGATCATTCTGTGTCTCTCTCCCTCTAACTTCACTTGGCTTGATACTCTTCCAGGACTCTCCATGTAACAGTAAATTTCATGACTTTATCTTTTCTTATGGCTGAGAAATATTCCATTGTGTATATGTACCATAGTTTCTTTATCCAGTCATCAACTCTTGGACATTTGTGTTGCTTCCAGCATAACTCTGATGACAGAAGAAATGGATCTACAAACAAAATATACATAGGATACAAATACAGGTTTATTGTATAAAACTAAGGCCTTAAACATCTTCAACCTCAAAAGACTAGGCAATTTTAACTCCTCAAAAATTTCACTTTTGGTCTTGAGTGATAGTACAGTGGGTAGGGTATTTGCCTTGCACGCGGCCGACCCGGGTTCAATTCCCAGCATCCTACATGGTCGCCCGAGCACCGCCAGGAGTAATTCCTGAGCGAAGAGCCAGGAACAACCCCTGAGCATCGCCAGTGTGACCCAAAAAGCAGAAGAAAAAAACCAAAAAACACTTTTCCTTACTCTCCCATCTCCAATTTTCACAATGCCCAGAACAAATGTTATAAAAAACAAACACAAAAAACAAAGAAAACCCTCCCAACAAACTATAAATAACACCAAGTCCTTTAAAGATAATAATCTCAAATGTTATTTCTTGGCATAGGTGATCTTCATGGCATGGGATGGTGTAATCTTAAATCCCTGTAAGGCATCCCTGGCAGCTCCAGCCTGACCATCATTTTCAAATTCAACAAAAGCAATGTCATGTCTTCCAGGTACCAAACGTACTTCTTTAAACCCAGGAAATCTATAAGAAAAGGGGAAAAAATTACAGATACATAAATAAATGACTACAAATTTACAAGTGAATATAAACATAAATGTCTAACTTGTGCTTACATTTGTTAAGCAATTTGCTTACTCTGGGAAAGTATCATAACCTACAAAGTATTCTGCGTAGAATGAAAAAGCCTAATGTGATAACTTGTCAATACATTAAAGCTGTTTCCATTAGAACAATTCAAATATCATGGAAAATTTAACTTTTCGTTTGCTGGATCTGCAGAGTGGAATCAATTAATGATTAATTAAAGGAATAAATCTGTGAAGATGCTGTATGATACATAAATGGATTTATCCTTGCAAGTGCTATTTGTCCTGTTAGTGGGTGCTCAGAATGCAGACTTGTTTATGCAAAACTTACTGATTAAACAGCATGGATAACATCATCTCATTAGTCTCTTCTGGTAAATTATTAAGGAATAAAATATAGTTTGGAGGGTAATCAGGAACCTATTAAAAAGGAAAAAAGGCCATGTTAACTCTGTAAAAAAAGGTTACAAAGTATAAAATGTATTATAAGTATTTAACTCAAATTAAAAACGCATTCAAAAGCTACAAGGATTATGAAAACATTAAGCGAAAAACCATGACATCAGAAAAACTAAGTATTTATAAAATAACTAAATCAACATTGACTAAAGGAAGCAAACATTAAAGTCAATACAAATTGGAAGATTACAAATCTTACTCACAGCTTGTAATTCTCTAAGTGTATTTAAGTAAGTTTTGACCACTGGGAGGTCAACTGCAGTCTATGAATGCAAGAACGTTAGTCCTTCCTGAAGCTGGTTCCCTGAGTAATAATATTCACATACACAAATACTTTGTATTATTTTTTACTACCTGTCTGGCATTTAAGACATGGAACTAGACTACCATTTAGATCACTATGTGATCTTAATGTTTTCGCCAGAGAATGAGAAATCTACATGCACTGTTAATAGACACTAAACTTCATATTTGGCATCCTACCCGGAAAACTATAGGGAGAATGGCATGTTTGAAGGAAAAGAGTTTTTTGGGGGGTTAGTTCCATGGAAAAGAGAAAAGTGTAAGGAACAATTTGTAACCACTTAAGGCTAATGAATGAAGTGTTAACATTTGTGAACTGAACAAATTCTTACATTACAGATAAAAGAAAATGCAAAAAGAACATCAGAGAAGGAAAACCTCAGTGAGGCAAAGAATTCTTTAGATTCAAGGACCCTGTAACTCTGGCATCCAAGATTTCTCTAATTTTAATACAATCATGAAACTATTAGTGTAAAACTGAGCCTTTCTCTTCGTGGTTTTACAGGGAATTTTGTTAGGAATTTCTGTAACATCTATATAGCACTGTAGCACTGTCCTCCCGTTGTTCATCAATTTGCTCGAGCGGGCACCAGTAACGTCTCCATTGTAAGACATGTTACTGTTTTTGGCATATCAAAAATGCCATGGGGAGCTTGCCAGGCTCTGCTGTGCAGGTGGGATACTCTTGGTAGCTTGCCAGGCTCTCCGAGAGAGACGGAGGAACACCAGTCGGCCGTGTGCAAGGTAAACATCCTACCCTCAGTGCTATCGCTCCAGCCCAATGTTTATATAAGGAGATTTATATTGAACTAAGGTCACAGTAAAACAACAATGTTCAAAGAGCTAAGTATTTTAGAAAAAATCAGTATTTCAGCCCACTGGATCAGAACAGGGTCCATCACCTGGTCCGTTCCCCCAGGCTATATTTTTGATGCCCTGGGAGCTACGGTGCAGAAAGAACACAATTTTGCTCCTAGCACTCATATAATTTCAAATCTGATGGTGATGTCATCATTGATTAATTAAAAGACAAAAGAATAAAGTCTGTTTTTATTTTCTCTCTCTTAATAATAAAATGCTTTGAGAAATGAGTTTTATATTAAAGACCACATAATTTAATGTATTTTGTACGTTATGGAAAAATTATTTTCAGTTTTTATGCATATGTAGGTTATCTGATCATTACTGCTTCATAATTTTATTTTAAAATAAGCATCAGATTAAAACAAAATTACCTGAGGATTTTGTGCTGAATTTCCTTGGGGATTAGCTGTTGGTGTTCCCTAAACAACAGAAATAAAATTAAAATTTTTACTTATTTCTTGTAAGAGAATGGATATTTATAATAATTGTACAAAAATAGCATTAATTTAAAAAGATTCCCTTAAATTTTACTCCAAGAATTGACTCAAATATTTATATAGTTTGTCACATATTTTGAAAAGTTCACCCCTTAATTATAAAGACTCTTCTCACAGGGGAAATAAAAAAAAATTTTTTTAAAGGTTCTATCATAAATTTTTAACCTAAGCTGTAAAACTGAAGTGGCAAATAAACCGTACTTTTTAAGAACCTGTCGTTATTTTTCAAAAACCGTTAAGTATTTCATTTAATAAAACGATTATCTAATCACTTCTGATCCAAAAACGTTTTGGATCATCTCATGTTTATTTTATACATTAGATTCTGAATTTCTAGCCTTGAGTACTCCCAGTGTAGAGTACTACAGCACTTAGTCACAGGGCACAACTCCAGAAGGAAGCCGAGTGATACCAACAATTTGGAAAATGATGAAACAGACAGGAGTACATTTACACTGGATCATGCAAATTCAATTATTTCCTATAATCTAACATAATGGTTATTTATATTTTAATTTGCTACTTAAACATCAATACTGGAATTTTAGAACTCAATTGTTAAAAACCTTCTTTAAACACTCATAAGAAGACATATGTTCAGACATGTTTCAATAATCGTCACTCATGTAGAAAGCAGACATCTGTATCAATTTTTAAGAGAAGAAAACCCAAGTTTTTGTCCCCCTTACCAGACCAGGCTTCTTGTTTGCAATTGCTGCAGTCTGCTCCACAGTTTTGGCTTTTTTCTTTTCTTTCTTCTTTTCTTTGTCAGCAAAAGTGCCACGCATCTTGGATATTATATCAGAATCTGTTTTTGCATACTGGATGCGCTGGTTTAATTATTTGAGAACAGGTTACTTCTACTTATACTGAAAACTGTCTATACCAGTCATTAATATTTCAAATTTAATTAAAAAAATACAGGAGAATTTTGAAAACATCATTCCTGAGGAATGTATCTGAGAAGAGATACTGAGTGCTACATGAAAATAAACCACGGCCTATTTTCAGACAAAGTTAGACTGAACTGTTTCTTTTTCAGAAGAAAAACCATAGGTTTTCATACAAGAAAAATTCTAAACCACTGCTTCTACTTAAAAAAAAGGGGCTAAAGGCAGGGGAGAAGAAAACTGGAAAGCTGTCCCATTTCTTATTAGCAACTTTCGGCAGAAGGGTCAACAAGTGTCCATTCGGTGTGGCATTACATCTGTTGCAGTGGTAAAGAGACAAAGTGTGGCATCAATTTTTATTTTGAATGCTTTGCAAGGAAACAAAAGGATGACATCACTGCTTAGTGCAATCAGGCCTTCTGCCACAACCAATATACTCTGTGAGAAAACAGGCAAGCACAGGAAAATACTAATCTAAGACAGCAGCTTATACCCTTAATATGCACTCTTATTATCTGGAGGGTGCAGAAGTGCAGATTCTGATGCAGATTCTGAGGTCGGGATGAGGTCTGCGACCCTGCACTTCTAAGAAATACAAAGGCCATAGCAGGTTGCATAGTTTGAGTAGTGTGCCCCCAGCCTAAAGCATTAGCACGCTGATAGATTTAATGCTAATTAATTATATCAAACTTCCTGCTATGAGTTACACTGTTATCTAGGTGTACTCATTCAGAAAGTGCAACTTCTGTTCATAATAGCCTGAATTTGGAAACAACCTGAGTGCCCAAGAACACATGACTGGTTAAAGAAACTATGGTATACCTACACAATGAAATACTATATAGCTTTTAGGAAAAAAAAAAATGAAGTCATGAAATTCGCTTGTAAATGAATGGATATGGAGAGTATCATACTGACTGAAGTAACTGAGGAGAGAGACAGACAGAATGACTGCAGTCATTTGTGGCATATTGAAAAAAAAAAAGTATGAGACTAACACTCAAGGTCCCAAGGATGGTAGAAATAAGGGCCAGGAGGATTGGTCCAGGTCTGGAAGCCAGACTCAAGGGCTGGGGGGAGAAGGGCAGTTGGGACAGAGAAGGGATCATTATGACAATGATGGTTGGAATGATGAGATGAGATCCTGATGAGAAATGAGATGAGATGAGGCAATGGGGGGGGGGGGGGCAGGCTTCTCGTAAAGGAAGGTGGGGGAGGTGGTGGCAGGAGGGATACAGGGGATATTAGGGGAGGGAACACTGTATGACCAAAAGAAAAAAAAAAAAGCACAACGCTCATTTCAAGTAGAATCTTTCTTCCCTGGAGTTCAAAGAGCTAAAAGATGATCTCTCTAATCACATGAAAACATAATAGTGCTAAAATTACTACCTAAAATGGTTTATATAGCAAGAATATGATCTCAAGCTAAAGGGAGCAAATGACATTTTAAAGCTGTGTGGGTTTGGAGTCTGGGTGATAGTAGAGCAGGTATGGTGTTTGCTAGCAGATAGTGGGTTTGCCTTGCATGTAGCCAATCACGGTTGGTTTCCTAGCATCCCATAGAGTGCGCTAAGAGCAGCCAGGAGTAATTCCAGTAAGAGGTTTCGGATTAGAGACTTGAGGTGGGAAGGACAATTACACACTTAGTATTATAGGCTTCTATGGCTGCGCTGGTTGCTAAATTAACAGTGTACTTACTCCATTTAAGCAAAAACAGACTGACAGACAACTTCATCTACTCTGATTTAGGGTTCTCCCCCATCTCCCCCCACTCTTCACCTCCCCCCGATCTGAATACATATTAAATGGCCTTGTATCCAGCCTTTTACACAACTGCCTGTGAAAATCACTGATCACTCTTATCCAGCTGGTCTACACAAACATTTCTCAACCAGAGTCCATATAAGTCCCCAGTGGGCACTCAAGATATTTCAAGGGGGGTGAGGGGCACAGTTTCAAAAAAAAAAAATCACACAATGGAGGGCTTCAGTTTGAGATTAAGTGGCAACCAGGGAGACAGAGAGAGGGCAGACATAGAAAACAAGGTCAGAAGGGAGCCATATTAAGAAAAAGGTTGAGAAATGCTGGTGTCCACAACAAAACATTACTCAACTCTTATTTTAAAAAAATGCAAACATCAGGAAACCCTGGTCTAAACTAAATACAGCTCAGGGAGAAAAATCCACCCAAACCTTAAAGAGGGGCAAAATCAACCTTTGTGACAGGACTTCATGACAGAAACTCTTAGAAAAATGGTTCTCCATTATGGAAGCATTTTTGGCATTAAATAATATAATGTTCTTGAATCAGAAAGAACATGGAACAGTTTCGAGTTCTAAGTTACAGAAAATTTCATTCATTCCTGATCTGGAATATTACTGTTAAAACAGAAGAATAACTAAAATGACAAACAATGACAAAGTTTCTGAACAAAATTCAGAATTTTTCCTCTCAGGATGCTGGAGTCTTGTCAGTGTCTGCTACCTTAATGGAGGCACAGGATGGATCTCCTAAAATACCATCAATATAAAATCAGTCTAACTGAACTTTTCCCCAATGATTTAAAATATTAGTTGTTGAGGTGATTGGCGTTAAATATAACATGATTTTCAGCTTTCCTGTATCTGAGCAACAGCACATGTAAATGTGTCATCTTGTATCAGCAAAAGTTAACTTCTAAACAGAAACCATTCCTTTATTTATATGTAACTTTATTTTAATTAATTTGGTTTGGGGACTATAGGTGATAGTGCTTAGGGTCTCTCCTAGTGGTGCTGGGAGTTGAACTGAGGTTGCCTGGAGGCAAGGCACCAGACCCCTGTAACTGTCTCTCTTGCCCCCATAATAATGTACTTTTATACCTAAGTTAAAAAATAGCATTATGCTCCTGCCAACTGAAATCAACTATTATTCCTTCATAGAATTAAAAAGGGCCAGAGAGATAGATATACAGAGGGTAAAGCGCTGGCCTCACTTGTGGCTCACCCAAGTTCGATCCTTAGCACCAAATATGGTCACCTGAGCAAATAAGGACCCCGGATCACTCAGTCACTGTGGGCCCAAAAATAAATTAAAAAAGAAAGATAAAACAGGGTTAAGGATATGGTTCAGTGTAAGAGTGCTTGCCTAGTATATATGAATCCCTAGGTTCAATCTTCAGCACTGTCAGTGACTTAAAAAAGCGATACAAACTGGCTTTCAGAAGTGCCAAAATCTTAATACCTAGGGTTTAGAAGCTTTAACTTTCAAGGCCTAATGTTACCACAGTTTATACCTATCTAAAAAAAGTAACGAATCTTTCTGTGTCTATTCTTCATTTGCAAAATAAATGAAACTTAGACACATGGCCGTTTTTTTGTATGACTATGAATTAGAACTTTATAAAAAAAAAGTTAATGATCATTAACACCATACAAGTACACACACTCGAGTATAAAATAGAAACTACATGTGGCCTATAAGTTCTAAAATGTTTATAATCTGTCTCTAAACAATGTTTGCTGGCCACTAAATAAGATCAAAGACTGCTTATAAGATCTAGCCTTTTAACATGAGCCCAGAAACAGTTTCAGAACCAAACCAGGTTTGTGAAACTCTACACCCTAATTCTTTCTTTCCTCAATATCTTTTGCCATCACATTTCATCTATGAAACATCTCCGTCTACACCCAAGGTCCTGTAAACTCCCTTATTTGGATAGAACCCCTTGCATTACAGTCTACCTCCATTCTGAATCAATCTCTACCATCGCTGACTAATACAAGAGGCTCCTAATCAAGTTTCCTACTTTCCTCTCACCCCCCCCCCAATTCAGTGCTTATCCAGTAGCAAAATGTATTACATCATCCCAGAATTTAAAACTTTCTATGTATAACCATATCATTTCCATTCATTTTCATTCTATTTTTTAATTTATGAATTTCCTTAGACTACTTTATCTGGCCCTCCCGTTGATCATCGATTTGCTCGAGCGGGCCCAGTAACGTCTCCATTGGAGACTTTGTTGTTACTGTGTCTGGCATATTGAATACTCTCCATAGCTTGCCGGGCTCTCCGAGAGGGGCGGAGGAATCGAACTCGGGTTGGCCATGTTGGCTGTGTGCAAGGCAGACGCCCTACCCGCTGTGCTGTACAGTTTCTGATATGTATCATCTCACTATTCTGAAAATTCAGATTAGATTTCCTCTTTGATCTGTAATTTTGTTGTTTTAAAAAAGGTTATAGGGGCTGGAGCGATAGCACAGCGGGTAAGGCATCTGCTTGCATGCGGCCAACCTGGGTTTGATTCCCAGCATTCCATATGGTACTCCGAGCACTGCCAGGGGTAGTTCCTGAGGGCATGAGCCAGGAGTAATCCCTGTGCATAGTCAGGTGTGGGCCAAAAAGAAAAAAAAAAAAAGTTATAAACAGATTACTTTTTAATCTCCAGTAAAGAACATTGCCTAATATGCAATTTTCTAGATAGTCTACATTTCAATGTATTTTTATTCATGTGAATGGTCATGAAATAAGTGAATTATAAATTCTTCTATTTGTGCATATTTAAAAATATATAAACGATGTAAACTATCTCAAACTTGCTCTAACGCCTAATTCAAGCTGAAAGCAATAACCATAATTTCAAATCTACCACACCATTTGCCTTAGAGATTAAAGGCAAAATAGTAAGATCAACTTACCATTGGTTTACCGTAAAATGGAAATCCTTGTAACTGCCTTAAGGCATTAGTGGATGAACCAAGTTCCTTAAATATAACAAAAGCTTGTCCTCTCATCTTCATGGTCTTTAGAGCCACGATATCTACCACATGGCCAAACTGAGAAAACAGGGCATATAGGGATCGCTTTAGTTCTGCATGAGAGTAAAAGGAATATAAGTTGGTTGTGAATGAAACAATGACAAAATTACATCGCACTAAATGCCCCCACAAGATTCACTTTTTTATGTTAATTTAATTTAAAAAGTTCCCAATGGTTATCTAATTTTGAAGTATTTAAAATTGCTTTATATATGAATTAAAACGAACCCAAAACATTTTCAGTCCCTGTTTTAATTGTATTAAAAGTCTTAGAATTCTTACACAAAAAGGGACAACCATCTCAAGCACAGAGAAAAAGGATACAAGAAGTTTTAAAGCACTGCACTTTTTAAGATGGGAGTAACTGAACATGCTTTTTAGTGAATGATATTTTTTTAATTAATTTTTTTTATTAGTGAAACACCATGAGGTACAGTTGTAGACATACAAATTTTTGTGCTTCAGTTTCAGTTATACAATGATTGAGTACCCAACCCTTCACCAGTGTCCATTCTCCACCTCCACTGCTCCCAGTAACCCCCGCCCCCCCCATCCCACCCTACCCCAGTGGAAGGGCATTCCCTTTTATTTTTTCTCTCCTTTTGTGTGCTGTGGTTTGCAAAAGAGACATTGAGTGGCAATTGTGTTCGGTCTATAGTCCACTTTCAGCATGCATCTCCCATCCTGGGAGGATCCTCTCAACACCCTTTACTTGGTGTTCCCTTCTTTATCTGAGCTGCCTTTTCCCCCAGCATGTGCAGCTGGCCTCCAAGCCATGGATGGAGCGAACAATATTTTTAAAAAACACTTACCTTCTTTTTTAATTTTGTCATTCATATTATTGATATAAATTGTATGATTTGGTCTGATATCCATGTTTTGAGTCAAACTTTTCAAACACCCTGAAGAGACAGGAAATTATGTTATAAAGAATATTAACTCAGACTGCAGTGTGGTCTAAGGACACATGACTAGGATCACTAACTTCAAGTCCTCTTTCAGTCTCAAACGTCACAAGACAACAGCTTGCAGCAGTCGTCTTTAAAACCTCTCCAGAACTTAACAGCTATTCTTTATACACAGACACCTTAACAAATTGAATAAATTTAACAAATTTAAAGCAGTTAACAAACTTATATTTATCTTCCCTTTGGAATTCCCAACCAGGGCTCTGGCAGCTGAAGACCTCCTGAACCAGCCACCACCATGCTGAGACACTCTCCGCACACATGAAGGCACCGGCAGAGGAACAAAAGCACGCGGGTCCCAGGGCTGAGATCTCCAAGCCTACTCGGATTGGGGCTGAGCATCCTCCACCCAGATCCTCCAAATTCCAGTAGGTAGGGGTCATACCCACCAACTGGCCCCCTGGCGCCATGTAATCCCATCAATGGCCAAGACTCAGAGACTATAAAACCCAGCTCCCAGAAGCAACATCTTATTATCTCATTCCTACTTTAGACAAACTGGCAGGCTACTGAATGTAACCTGCCCACACGGCAGAGTCTGGCAAACTCCCTGTGGCATACCCAATATGCCAAATACCAGTAACAATGATGGGTCTCATTTTCCTAACTCTGAAAGAGCCTTGAATTTGGCACTTTTAAAAAAATCTCAGGGCTAAGACAAAGGAGACGTTACTGGGGCCTGCTAGAGGCAATCGACGAATAACAGGATGGTCGTGATTATCGTGGTCGTGATCCCTTTGGAATCAGTGGTACCGTTATCCCACCTGCCTAATAAAATGACTTGTTTTAGTACATTTATTTTAGGAATCCGTAGTTGAAAAAACTAAAAGCCCCAGCAAACTTGTAAGTATTACGGGCATTAATAAAGTTTGCTGTGCACTAATGCATGTGTATGTATTTACCAAGAACACAGCTCCAGCAGGAGTCAATCCACACTGACTTTCCAACCTGCAAGGACGTCACCCCGAGGGAGAGGCAGTGAGTGCATGAGGGCTAAGCGTTCCAATCCCAGGATCAGACAGACGTGGCACCAAGGTGTGAGTCTACTGCTTAGCTAATAAGCCTGCGCTTCCCACCCAACAGCAGCTGGGCTGCACCACACTCCTTCCAGCTCCCGATCTGAAGCCGACAGGACGTCAGCAGCAGCTACAACCTGGCGCACCTACATCCTGCGATCGGTGGCTCTGACTGTGGCACTGGGCAGCCCGGGAGTTCGGCCCGTTATCTTTTCTCCCCGAGCTCACTCTGGACAACCCACAGTGCTCCAGCGTTTACTCTGCCCCGGGGGTGCACGCCCTGGGGCCTTGCCCGGCTTGACCAAGGCTCGGGCTGCCCCAGGCACTGCCGTGAACTGCAATGTGGGCGGCTGACGTCTACGGGGAAGGTTCGGGACCCCTCTAACCAAGAAGACGAGGGGCGCGGCCTGCACAAAGGCAGAGACGGAGGAGCTGAGCTGGCCCCGCGTGGCGGGGCTCCCCAGCATAGCGGGAAGCCACAGCGCCCGGAGGACCCGCACGCGGAGTCACAGGCCGCGGGGACGTGACTCCTCCCGCGCCGGGGGCTCCCGCCGCTCCAGCCGCCGACACCCCGCTCAGAGCCACGACCCCGGCGCCCGCCCACCCGAGGCCGGGTCCTGACGGTTGGGGTCCGGCGGCCCCGCTTCCATTCCGCCCTTGCAGCCCCCCGCCCACTCCCGACACCCACTGGGAGTTGCGGCCGGGTGCGGCGGCGAGCGCGGCCCGGGGCACAGAAAAGCCGCGAGGAGGTCCAGCCCCGACTCACCGGGAGGCGGACGGCGGGCGCGGGGCGGAAGCGGAGCGGACGGCGGAAGGGGCGGGGCGCGCGCCTCAATCGAGCGCCGAGCCCCCGGGAAGCCGAGCGCCGAGCTAATCGATCCCCGCCCTCGGCGATTGCGCATGCGCCCCCCCGGGAAGTGGAGCAGGGAAGGGACTGGAGGCGACGCTGGCCTGTGGCGAGAGCGCTGCAGGGTCGCAGGGCTGCCGTCGGGAAAGACTCTGGCGTTGCACGCAGCCCGCCCTGGTTTGAGCCCACTAGGGTGCTCCGAGTTCTCCGGTGATTCCTGAGCTCGGAACTTGGAGGAAGTTCTGAGCTCTGCCGGGTGTGGACCCAAACCAAAATTAATAACCCGTCAAAGCGACTCCTTTGGCACTGGACAGTTCCGCCCGGCTTCATCCCGCAAACTTCCGCTCTCCGGCTCTCCAAACTCAATGTCTAGGGACATATGCATACCAAAATTATTACAGCTAGGGTTATGTAATTACAACAGTGTTGACCTTTGTGTAAGGGTTGTATGGAATAAAGACAGGCAAAATTTTAGTTGGAAGGAATTCCCGCACTTCTCTAGTCTGGCTTTCTAGTTTAACAGCACGCACACAGTTGCAGCAAATAGTTCTACAGATGCAGTTCCTCACGCTGCCCTGGTGTCGCAGGCCTTCTCTGGGCTCTTTCTTGCACTGAGGTTTAATGTCCATTCAGATCCTTTGCAGCAGCCAGTACTTTCTGTGAGACTGAAGTGGAGCCATGACAGGCTCCACTTTAAGACTGAAACTCAGCAGGCCTGAGTTCAGTTTTCCCCATCGGAAAGTCGCGACCTCTCAGAAAACAGTATCACCTTGGGCAGACAAGCTGCAACAGTCTATTGAAGTAGGGGGCATGGGCAGTGGTACCCAGCCAAGTAGAGAGGGTCGAGGGACCAGAGAAGAACCAAGGATTGGAAATACAATGCTGGTCTCTGAAGTCACAAGACCGGACAGGGACAAGAATTGGAAGCATACTGCCAGTGCTTAGAAAAATGCTGTTATGTAACCAAACCCTGAATAATAGGCTTACAATTGGGAGTCGGGGTCCTTGTCGAGACTCCACTGTGTTGGATGAGACTTTGGACCTAGCTGGAGCTAGTAATAAAGGGGCTTTGCATTTGCATCCTTACATGTGGTCTGGTCGATGTGCCAGTGAAACTTCCTTCCCGGGACATAACACTCTAAACCTCAGATTCCAGGAACGTTTTAGGGAACTTGTCAATTATCAGTTAATGAGCTTCAAGTCCAGATGTCTCTCAAAAATTGTGGTCCCAAAGCAGAAGGAATTGCCTATTGCAACCAGGCTTGAGGAATAAACAATAGGAAAATAAAAGAGCACATTGTCAGACACAAAATAAATGGTTCCTATGTACTATTTCTAAATTATGGCTGTAACTGGGGTGTAGGAATGAAGGAGACAAGTAGGCTGGTTTTGTGCACAGCATTTTAAAAATAATTTTAATTAAATAGCTTAAAGAGGTTGAAAATAAAGTTTAAAAGGTTCTTAAAGCAAGATTATCACTTTTTCCCCATTCACAACCCCACATATATAAAATAACTGTTGCATTTGGAGATGTTCATCCCGTTGAGAGTGAATGAAACATCAGGAACAAGACCATTTCTCATAAACATTGTATCATCCTCAGGTTCTCACACTGAATCTCAGGTCTAATAGCTGGACCTACTTTGGTGACTGAGAATTGCCCTGGAGCACCACTTGGGAGCGCCCCATCCAAAAATATATGTATTCCAGTTCTATATTTCTTGAAGTTCTAAAATTCTTGGTTTTGGAATAGAGGGGGGTTCACACCTGTCTGTTCTCAGGGCTTACTCCTAAATGCACTCAGGGATCACTTCCAGTGCACTTTGGGAACCATCGGGGGTGATGGGTATCAAATTTGGGTTAGCTGTGTACAAGACAAGCGTTGTATCTGTTGCACTATTCCTGCAGCCCTAGCAATTTTGAAATTAAATTAAGCACTGGGGTTGCTTTGGTATGTGGTTCAGTGGTATAGTGCGTCTTGCATTTAGAAAGCTCTAGGTTTTATCTCTGACAGAGAGAGACAAAGAAAGACAGAGAGATAGAGACAGAGAGAAAGAGGGAGAAAGAGAGAGAAGCAGACAGAAGAAAGGTAGGAAGGATGAAAGGAAAGAAGGGAAGGGGAAGGAAGGAGAGAGGAGAGAAGGAAGCAGAGAGGAAGGGAGGAAGGAGGAAGAGGGATTAAAACAGATCTGGTCACATAGAGGGCAAGACCTTACTTTCTGTACTATTTCTCCAGCTCCAGAAATTGTATTTTAGAGGTTGAAAAAAACTCTAAATGTTCTATGAACACTCATCTTTTGTATTTTTGTTCTGTTTAGAGCTAACTTTGAGAACTTAGTTTCATTGCTGTCTTTGAAAAAATTAACATGTTAGATCCTTAATATTTTTAACTACTTAGCAAACAGGCTAGACTGAATTACTGAAAACCAGAGCAGTGTGGAAACTAGAACTTTAAAGGACTTAGGTGGCACTTAGCTAGGTAAGTCTAATGAGTTCTCCTACCACCCCATCACCTCTTATGCGTTGGGGAGAAGTCCCTTGGTGTTTATTTATGTGCTGTCTTGTGTTTGCGTCGTGTGCTGTATTCTATGATTTTGAGATTTGTCTGTGAATTCTAGGTTTCTTGGAATCCCAGGGTTTGGAGATGTTTCTTTTCATGTTTCTCTGTGTTGTGATATCTAGACTCTGTCTATTCAGTTGTTACACAAAGAAGTTCTCAAAAACAAAAGATAAAAATTATCTCAGTAGAAGTGGTCATTAAAGGACTTCTCTGAGTGTTGAAGATCAAACTAGGTTTAAACCTGTAGATCTAAAGAAAGAAATACTGCAGACTGATTTAGGAACTACAGAAAACAAGTTAAGCTATCTAAGTCTTTTTTTTCCCAGAGATTTATGCTTTTTTGACATCAAGGAAAGGAAAATAACAAGATTAGAGTAAGTTGCTTGTATTTTGGTTTTTTTTCCCCTGCCCCCCCCCCCTTTTCTTATTTGAGGGAACTGGACTTGATCTCTTAATAAATATCTCTTGATCTCAAAAACTACAGAATAGCTATAATATTCCATAATCCTCTGTCCCTCTCGGAGAGCTCGGCAAGCTACCAAGAGTATCTGCCTGCATGGCAGAGCCTGACAAGCTCCCTGGGGCATATTTGGTATGCCAAAAACAGTAACAATAAGTTTCACAATGGAGACGTTACTGGTGCCTGCTCAAGCAAATTGATGAACAACGGTAGGACAGTGCTACAGTACTATTTATTTCTTTGTATTGAATCACCATCAGATACACTCTTATGAAGTTGTTTGTGATTGGGTTTCAGTCACACACAATGTTCTATAATTTTAATAGATTAGATTTATCTTTCAGTCTGAGATCCAGCGCTGTAGCACTGTAGCACTGTCATCTTGTTGTTCATCAATTTGCTCAAGCAGTCACCAGTAACGTCTCTATTCATCCCTGTCGAGTGCTAGTATAGCCCAATGGCATCTGCTTGCTCCAGGAACACCAAGTGAGAATTGTTGTTACTGTTTTTGACATATCGAGTACTACACGGGGAGCTTGCCAGGCCCTGCCCTGTGGATAGGATACTCTCGGCAGCTTGCTGGACTCTCCCGGGTCGGCCATGTGCAAGGCAAACGCTCTACCCACTGTGCTATCGCTCCCGCCCAGATTCAGATTCACCTGGATTAATCTTACAGTCTGAGATCCAGATTTAACTAGAAATTAGGGTTTTTTTTTCTTTTAATCTTACAAATGAAAGCATGATTTCAGCAACATTAATGAGAATCATCTTGAGTCAGAGGTACATCATGAATCAAGTTAAATCAAAGAAAATGCTTCTGTGCATGTGTTTATAAACATGAGAAAACAGACTTCTCTTTGTATATAAATTTATGTTTTCAGGTCTCTCTCACTTTATTTTGCTTCCAGATAAAGCAGTTAGAATATCTATAGCTGGGATATTATGACCTGATCATTTTGATGAATGAGAACTCGTTTCAAATTTAGTCTGAAACAGAGGTCTCTGGTTTTCAAAGGTACAAAATTTTTATTCTACCTGCAATTGCTGGTCAGAATTACTTCATGTTATCTAAATAGGTAAATTTAGTCACACAAGGTGTTTTTTTTTAAAATTGGTATGGAGACAAAATGAGGTTGCTTGTGCTAATGGCAGTGCAATTTCCAGATCAAGTAAACTAACTTGAGATATAAAAGATTAAGCCAATTGATAGAACTGTCTAGAAATGCTCTCTAAGATTTTTTGTAAATTAAAATTTTTAGAGTTATTTAATGAGAGACTAAAGAAAGGATTATCTGGGCTAGATAGTTATTACAGATTGTCATAATTAAAACTCCACTATTGATAATGCTGAAGCCATAGCACCACCTCAGTGAAAGTATAGAGGTCTCTACTTTGAAAGTTTGTCTTATTATTTTCCACATTTCTTGGACAAGTAAAGTTCTAAATTTCAGTAAGGAATTTGTTGAGTTTCTTGAGCATTTTATGAAAACATTACCTATAGTACTTACTTTATTATTGTTAGTTTAGCAATTGGGAAAATGCTCAGTATCAGGGACCCACAAATCTAACCTCTTAGATTTTTTTAATTTAAATTTTTTATTTTGGCACCTAGATTCACAATATTTTTAACAGTAGGGTTTCATGCATACAGTATTCCAACATGACACCCTTCACATGATTCCCGTCCACCCTCCTTATCATTAGTTCTTTAATTTAGTAGAACTTGTCTTAGTTTCAAGAAACCTAAGTGCTATTTGCAGTTAAAATTTTTGGTACTATGGTTAAACAGGTGACTGAGTATTGTTTCATGGATATCTGTGTTATAAACCTAATAACTTCTGAAAATATTCTTATTAATTTTGATAGTTTACAGGATTTTATGTCACAATATTGAGCAAACTTCCTTGTGAATTGTATT